CGCCGGCGCTGGTCGGTTGCGGGGGTGTGTGTGTGTGTGTGTGTGTGTGTGTGTGTGTGTGTGTGAGAGAGAGAGAGAGAGAGAGAGAGAGAGAGAGAGAGAGAGAGAGAGAGAGAACTTGAACTGCCTCACCCACTCCCTGTCTGAAAGTCTGGCTTCCACTGCATCAGTTTTTAATGTCATTTCCATTCCTTTTCAGCGCTGCCTGGGCATCCCAAGGGGCTAAGCCAGCTGCTTGAGGGACTAAAATAAGGATGGGAGAGAGAACAGCAACCCCTCAGTAGCCGCTTTTACTTTCCCAGGAGCTGAGGGCTGGTCCTGCTGGGCCTGGGACACTGCATGCTGTGCCTGTCATCACTGAGGGAAGGGCTCCAGGGCCTGTAGGGTATCAAGGTGCACTATCAGCAGCATTGAGCCTAGCCTTGTAAACCTGGAATCTGCACTGTGCACCTGTGTCTTTGCAGGACTCTGAATCAGACCCACAGGACAGTCTCACCCAGGGACACTACAGAGCCAGAGGCCTTGCTTCCTGAGGAGTTCCCAGTCTGAGCCTTTAAGGATGTATAGTGGTCCATCTTCACCCACTATGAGCAGGGCAGGTGTGGCCCCTCTTTGATAGCAGGAAACTGCAGTCTTGGGGTGCGGGGAGAGCCACTGCACTGAGGTCGGGACTTGCCTGAAACCCTGGAGCCAGCAGCAGATATTAAATGAGCCCAGCTCAGTGCTGCCTTCCAAACATAAAAGCTGGGAGGTCGTGGGAACCACCTACTCTGCCACAGTCCAGGGAGCCCAGGGCCATGCGCATAAAGGCCTGAGGCAGGTTAATTAAAGTTAACTGAGTGAAAAAATAATTACAGAGACTGCAGAGGGGAGAAACCCAAACCTGCAGTTTATACTCCTCAGCCCCTGAGCTTTTCTGAGAAACAGTATAGTTCTTGGGAATTCTTTCTTGGGCAGGGAAGGAGGGACAGCCCTCTTTTCATCACTTTCTTTCTGCCACATGCTCTGCAGG